TTTATATTTAGATTTATATTGATATGTCAGGATATACAGTTAAAGGATTAGATAATTTGTTAGATAGAATGTTAGATTAAATAAAATTTACTTCTCAATTAGAAGATATAAACACATATACTGAAGAATTTGATAGGATAGAAGAAAAGTTAAAAAGAAATGTTGAAAATTATTCTAACATATTACAATTTAGAATGAAATTATATAATAAAATTCAAGAAAGAAGAGTTATATTAGATCAATGAATGGATTTTTGTTTATTAAAAGCTTAAATATAAGAGACTAATCTCTAAAATTATACAAAAGAAAAGGATATGTCTTGCAATAAATGAAAACTCATATCATTAAGGGTAATATAGACTTTTTAACCAATTTTATAAAAAAGCCTAATCAACCAGGCCAATCATAATAATGCCCCCAATGGCCACCCAATTTATAGCATTTTTTGGTAACTTTGTTTGACTTGCCTACCGATGTGAGATGTGAAAAGTAACAGCTTTCAGAGTTTCACTCTTCTTCTTCCTTTTCAAGAAATTTATTTAAGCTTTGTGTGGGAGAGATTAAAATCGGATTAAAATTGAAAATATAGCCATTATTGTTGACTTTTATTAGACGAGTGAGACCCAATAACGGCCATATTTTCAATTTTAATTGATTTTTAATCCCTCCCGAACGGGACCTTAAACTCCAAGTTCCTCTACATTTGACTCATCATCTTTAATCTCCCCACATGATGAGGTAAACCCTTCTACGGTCATTTTTGAGTCGCTTCATAGCCCACGTTATCAAAAGGAAAAATATAATTTACTTTAAATTGTTCACAGACGAGAGTTAAGCTTGAATCCTGATCTGATGACTTCTGCACAATGTGCTGGTTGCCCTGTTCTTCTTGGGTCCATAAACTACCATGTTTATTATAGTAGCATATAGTGAGAGAATCTAAAAGAATCCATATTGCGGGAACTTATGGAGTTTTGCTACATTGCCAGGGTCACACCCAGCTGGCCCCCTGGCATTATCAGGGCCATATGGGTACTCGTAAAGCAAAATTGTCCGGTTTCAAAACTGATGTCATCATTACTTCTGGAAGAATTAACCTATTTGTACAATTGATGTTAACAATTGTGGTTGACAACAATGAAGTTGTCAAAATTTGAACCATTGATTTAAAAAACAGTTTTTGAAATAAATGAACGTGATGTTGCCAAGTGTGAGTTGTCAACAAAGATTGTACAAGTAGCATGATTGTTTCACGAAATGGTGGGGATAATGAAATTTGGTTTTCTGCATAAGTGCATGCGTCAAATCCCAAACTAGTACCATGGGATGTTATTTCAAGAACATGGTTAATAAAACAAAACAAGAATTCGGAAACTGATGATAAAAACAGGGGCTTTGGTTCCACACCCTGCACTTCAAATCAATATGAAGGAACAAACGCGTTAGGCACGAGCATTGGATAACATTAAGAAATAAATAAACCAAAATCTTATTACTGTATAGTTAAGTTATGGTCAAAGTTGCATGCCAAACATGCAATTGCAAAATTACAAGAGCCAAGGAGGCTTTTTTTATGACTCCCTATAAACTGAATGTCGGCAAGTAGCATGCCAAACAAATTAGGCCAAAGCTACAAAGTATGCTATGCTATTATTACATGAGGAAAAAAAAAAATTGAGACTCTAGGTCAAGTTGAAGAACTGAAGAACACAAATTTGACAACCTAATAAGCACAAGCAACCTTAGAAATCTCTAATCAAATTCAAGCCTAAAAATCTTGAATTATAGAGCAAATCATAGGACTCAAAATAGTAAAAATCAAGTAGTCCGTAGATGCAAATCTTCTGGGATGCACTTTTCCAGACTTACAATTGAATTCAACAACACGTTCGGCATTTACATCTATATTTATGTCAAACATGTCTATTTGCAAGAACATTTGAAGATATTTTTTTATTGTCACATATATAGCCTTATATTAGTCATGTCTGAAGAATCACCTATCATCGCTCCCATGCCTAACTTGCCCTGCTGCTAAAATTGTTTTAAAGGAAGTGAGCAACAAATTCCCCCAAACCAGATAACACAGTTATTTTTAAACTAAGTATTTGGCATCAAACAAAGCTTCCCATCAAGAAAATAAGATAATCAGCATCTTCATCCTGATAATTACACCACATACTTATCCTATGGGAAGTTTACTTTTTTTTTTTTTTTTTTGATAACCGTAGATGTCTGGGCTAGCTTGCGCGCACCTCGACTAATCCCACGGGGCCCAGAAGTTTATGGTCGAGTACTCACCTCAATGGCCTGAGGGGACTCGAACGGTGACCATTGAAGAGGAAGTTTACTTTAAGAATAACGTTTAGAAATATAGCAAAAACTTTACTTCTCATACAACTTTCAACATGGAGTATTAAACACAGTAGAAAAAACTAGAAAAATACTTTATTTTCAAGTCCTAAAATAGTTCCAGTTTATTAACACTTACCAATCACCCCATACCCACAACAAAGGCCTGGACTGGCATTTAGTGCTATATGCTTTTCGGGTTTTGTTCTTTCTATGGACAATTTATCTCACTCACAGACCAATGTAGGGTAACCTCAAGCACAATTACAACACATTAACACAATCATTTCAATGAAACTTCTGAAGTAAAATTACTAATAGGCAGATCAGCTGGAGTGCATACCAATGCCCGTTGCTGTAAACGTTTTAAACTCTGCTCCATGCTAACTTGCACCATCTCCGCTAACATCTGCTTCGCTTTTCCTGTTTGATCGTCCCCATCAATCCGAGATATAATATTGCACACTATATTCTCGAGTGTATCGGGTTGAAGCTCAGACTGTGGATAAGGATGGTCTCTCAGTAAATGCAATAGCGTTTGTGCTTTCGACTGAGACTTGGGTGTTCCGTGAACTGTGAGCTCAAGAAGTCCTGGGATGACACCTTCTCTAAGAATCGGTTCTCGATACTTACAACGATCACTCTGACACATTGTCAAAAGTGTTCCCACAGCTTGCTCCCGGCTTTGAAGTGACCCCCTTTCAAGCACTTCTACTACTGCAAGTATTCCCCCCTCTTCAGATGTAAGTACGGTTCTTCCCTCATCAAAACCCACCAACAGTTCTATTAAACCAGTACATCTTTCCGCTGTTATTGAAGACTTCTTACTGGATTTAAGCAAATCAACTAAAGGAGGAATTGGTTCTGTTCGAAGAATCAGGCTAACATTTCCTGGATGTGTCGATAGGTTGTAAAGGGCCATTACAGCATCTGATTTAGCTTGTGAGTTCCCATGTCTTAAAGTTTCAACAAGAAGAGGGATGGCCCCGGAGGCACTGATGATTGGTTTGTTCACAGATGATGCAGAAAGTGTTATCAAAGCCGCAATTGCATGCTCCTGTAGAGTTGGATCCCCGGACTGAAGGAAGGCAACTATTGGTTCTAAGGCCCCGGCATCTATTATATTTATCTTGTTCCTGCAAATAAATGAAATCAAATCAAACAGTAAATCTCAGTTAGATTCAGCTACAATAAGAAGGCTAAAAGTAATGCGAAGTTGCACATTCTTCATTAGTGCAATAGATACAGAAAGATCCAATCATTAGTGAATACTGTGAATTACACATAGATTAGAATTAATTATTCCATAGAGATTAGGGTTAACATCAATGACTCCAGTAATGAATTCACTTTGACTGTTAGATTGTAACAATTACAAACTAAATATTCCTTCCCGACGATAGAGTGGGTTAAAATCAACTAGCTCCATTGAAACCTCGGTCGGCAATCCTCACATTTAATTTAAAATTTGACACCATCACAGATGCAGATCTAATAGGCAATGGCATCCATAAAAGTTACGGGAGAGAGATCACAGTAGCCCATATGCCTCAAGACCATGCTAACCGAGGTACCAAGTTCAACATACCATACTGTGTGTATTATGAAACCACAATATTTCAGTTCTTTCCTATGGTTCAAAGGGGCTCCTCACACAATAATTCAGTGAACTTGACTCGTTGTGTTCAGATGAATGAGATTGCTCTCTTGAATCCCGATTATTTTAACTCCAAGACAAAATACCCGAATTTTGATTTTCAAATGGAATCTTCCCTTTCCCCCCGTTCACTTGAGTTGAAGGACTTCTACGTGTTCTTTGTCTTACAATCTAGTTATTTTAAAGAATGATAGCTAAAACCACTCAAGCAGTAATAAAGAGAAAAAAAATCTCTTCGAAAAGTAAATAGAATCTTTTTGTTTTTGATAACCCTGGGTGTCCAGATCAGCTTGCGCGCACCTCTACTAATCCCACGAGACTCTGAGGTTTACAGCCGAGTACTCACCTCAATGGCTTTGAGGGGACTCGAACTGGTGACCATTGGGGAGCAAACACAAGGTTTGACCAATTGAGCAACCCCTCAAGAAAAGTAAGCAAAATTTAATCCATGTGATAGTTTTTACAAGCAAGATTAAAGAAAAAGATGGGAAGAAGAAAAAAAAGAAATAGAAAGCAACATGTGAACAAAAGACCAGTCCCAATTTTAAACCTACCCAATCCACAACAGAAAGTATTATATTCCTTTGGCCATGGGAATACACTACCAACCACTTATAAGTTTCCAAAACTTATTTGAATTTCACTCCGTGAAATAAAGAAATATAATTTCGAACATAACAAGTCTTATTATACAATAAAACCAAGCCAAAACCGATTATTCCTTGAGCAGCAGTTGCAGGAAACTAATTCAATGTTCAATAAAAGTTTATAACAAAAAAATCAAAATTCAGATCTAGTTTTGTAGAAATCCAATATCAGTGGTCTCAGCATACATATGCTGAAACCAGCTCAACTTATGTGAAAACACTGCAATACAAAACTCATTCACTATTTTTTATTTTTAGTTTTTTGATAGCTTTTACCCTTTTAAAGAACCAACCAAGACAATCCGAAAGAAAAGTGCAGCAACTGTGGAATTTTTCTTTCCCCGAATCACTGAATCTGAGGAAAAAGACACTTAAAAAAAAAAGCAGCAAAAGCAAGAACCTCTCCCAACAAATCCCCAAAACAAATAGCTTAATTAGACAAACCAATGGCCAATCCAATAAAAATGAAAGCTTTTTCAGGGTATTCATTAACAATCAAGTTTTCAGTCTCCAAATTTAGAAATTTGAACATTAAATTAGACCTGCTAACTGTCGACCCAGTAAAAATGAGAACTTCTTTCAGGATTTTGATCACGAGAACCAGAATCATGTTTTTGGTCTCCAAATTAATAAAATTTGGTGTAAAATTCAATAATCAAACTATTTAACGGATTCCAATTCAGAGGTTCTAGTTACAAACCCCAAGACCCAATGCAATTTGAGTCTACAAGTGAAATCAACATACAAAAGGAAGGCATAGAATAGAATAGGCAGACTTTTCCTTACGTTTCGTCCTTTACTGCAAGGTTAAGAAGAGCAGAAAGGGCCGCCTCCTTGGCTTCAATAGAGTCGCAACGAAGCATGTCGACGAGTGGATTCACGGCGCCAGAGAAATGACGGCGGTAGAGCTGCGAGGTCTTAGTAAGCCTTCGGATCTCCGTCGCTGCCAGGACTCTCAAATTCACGTCATAAGATTGAAGAAGCAGAAGGATTTGGTTGACGTTGGATGATGGGCTCGAAGCACAGGGTTCAGTATAAGCTTCGGAAGAGACGGTGACAGTGGTTGTAGCGGTGGTGAGGTGGCACTGTCCGCTCTCTTTGAAGCCCATTTTTTTGTTGTTTTTGAGTGTGGGGGTAGAGAGAGAAAAATCAATGAGAGAGAACGGGGTTAAATAATGGAAGACGAGGAAACGTAAGGTCGAGGAATGGTGCCGTGGCGTTAAGCAACAGTAAACAGTTACATTACATTAAGGGGGTGAAGAGGAGGGGGTCAGGGTGATTTGTCTGGGCGGCTTTCCAACGGTAGATTTTGCCAGGGAGGTGGTTTGGAGAATTTTTTTTTTTTTTTTTGAAAGAATATTCTATTAAGCTTTTGTTTGGTATGGCTTAAATTTTTTATAATTTTTTTTTATCAAAATAAAATTAATTTTATAAAATCAATAATTTTTATTAATTTTTCAATCATACATTTTATCAAATTCCTATTTGGCCCTCATTTCTTAAAAATTATTTTTTCTGAAACTTATTATTTTCAACCATTTATTTAATCAATTTTATCAAAATTTATTATAAATCTATTTTTTTTTCCAAATCAAATATGTGTGAAAATTTACTAAAAATTTGATTTTTAGCTACATCAAATAAAATCTAATAATATATGGTTGAAAATAATTTTCAAATAAGCTCTTAATTTGGCCATTGATATTTCTAGAAGTCCAAAACTTAGGTAAAATTGATAATTGAATGAAAATATTATATAGGTCAGCTTTAATCAAGTCGCGAGGGTTGGACCTACTCGTCGGACCAATATGAATGTAGCTAAATGTAGTAAGACGTTTTCTTAATTTTATTATTATTATTATTATTATTATTAATAATTATACGAAGACAATCAATAATTATTTTAATATGAACATTATTTTAATGAGACCATTAATAATTATCTTCTCATTAATTAGATTATTGGTCAATTTACAAGCATATAAACTAAAATAATTAAACCATTTCTCAAAATAATGCTAACTATTTCTTTTCTCAAAATAATATCACCAAAACTACCACCAACTATTGTTGCCTATTTCCACAACCATACCAGAATAAGCCAACCAAAAAACTACCATACGCCACCATTGGAACCTACCGCCAAATCTGCATCGCCATCAACTCCATCTCCATTCGTCGTCTATTTCCAGCCAAACCCTAACAACGGATCAGTACCAAACCCTAACCTATAACAACCAATCATCGGTCAATCTCCTTGCCATTGTCTCGCTGCACATTGATAGTCATTGCCAATGTCAATTTCAATATATATTGCCTACATCTCCTCCACAACCACCAGAAAACTATCCCACGTCGCATCTACTAACTTGCTTTCCCTCTACCATACTCCTAGTCGTCATCCCATCGCACTTATGACGTCATTCTACTACTTCACAAAAATGTAAGTTTGATGACTAAAATAAATATATGAAAAATGAGTAATGATATTTATCATCATTGGTGTTGACACATGTCTATATGACATTTGCAGGGCATTAAATAATAAGTTCACTTAAATACAATGTCACCCGATTCATTTATTTGAATCTATCAATTGTGATCATTTAAACTCATGCTCTAGCATTGCTAGTACTAGAAAACATTATCAATAATGCTATGTAGCCCCAGTTGGGTTGCATCCCCAATCTAGATGACATTAAATGATTGACTAAATGATAGGTGAAATTAAATGATTTATTTAATTTCATCTATCATTTAATATCACATTAACGCTACCTAAATTGTGGATGCAACCACAGTGAGGATGATTAGCATTGCTCTAACATTATTCATCAAAAATAGGTTGACTATGAAATAAAGTCGTAAATTGGATGACCACCAGCGAAATTTCCCCAATTATTAACATATTGTGATGTGATTCAGTAATTAAGAATATTAATTCTAAAATAATAAAAACATTAAAGTTTAGTCTTGAAACAATTAACGTGAAAAATGATGTCACGCCAATGTTGAAATGATTAAGAATGTTATCCACGAAAAAATGTTGAGAATTTGAAACTATAACTCTACAACACTATTAGCAATCATTTCTTTCCTAGAGACGATCAAACAGAAATACTTTGATTCTCTTAATAATTTAAATGTCAATATAATTTAGTTGAAAACTAACAAATAAATACTTTTGATCACTTGCCCCTTTTAAAGTATTTTTCAAGTTGATGCTCTCTCTCTCACACACACATAACAGATGAAACACTCACTACTGTTCATCCATTCATTTCCTCCACTTGACAATTACGCATGGAAAATTCTAGTTGTACATAATATTCTACGTAATGTTTTATCGAATCGACAAGTGGCGGTCACCTATTGGGGGGAGCCTGGGCCCACAGGTGCCCTCAATAGGTGGCCGCCACTTGTGGATTCGATAAAACATTATGTAGAGAATTAGGTAAGTGTAGCATGGTCGATTACGCATACTATTGGCCCCAACAAAACAAGATTCAAAACTCAAACTAAGCTATACCCTATAATATATATTTTTACTATTAAAGCCCATAGTCTCGTTCAAACTCGTATAGGAAAGGGGGTTTTCTACAAATTTATGTGAACATCGAATGGAGGTTTGACTTTGTCCTATAGTATGTAAACTGATGAATTGTGATATTATATAATCCATTATATAAATCTTAATATACATGTAGCAAGATCTTTATATTAAGGATTTTGTTACTTATACATAAAAATGTACATAATTGATTACATAATATGATGTTGAGGGAAAACTCAAACTAAGCTATACCCTATAATATGTGAACATTGAATGGAGGTTTGACTTTGTCCTATATATGTAAACTGGCAAATAGTGACATTATATAATTCATTATGTAAATTTTAATGTACATACATCAAGATCTTTATATTAAGGATTTTGTTACTTGTACATAAATTTAATTGTGTTTTAAACTGACAATTTGTAGAGCGTCATGTGATATTATGTAATCCATTATGTAAATTTTGATGTACATATAATAAGAACCTTATATTAATATGAAAAAAAATTCTATGTAAGGAGTGGACATATAACCTTATCTTCAAAAAGTTACAATCAATTCCATTCTATGTGACATTTTACCTAATTTATTTATTATAATTTCAGTAGTGTTATTATACTTATTAATACTTTGTGTATATCCGATAGTGTTAAAGAAAGACAACAAAAGTTAGAGCATTTCCAATGTATTCTATGATTGACGCCTATGTGACATTCCAGTGGAAGGACTTTTAGTCTACTTAACATTAATGTCTATTAAACAGACGGCTGTGTCTAAAGTTCTTCTTCAATGATTCTATCTACATCCACATATTGTTGCATAGGTGGATTTTATTGACCTTAAAATCTGATGGATCAAATATAATCACCCAGCCATGAACAATTTGGTGGTAGATTTGTAAGAACTAGAAAATTCAGAGATTGTTACAACCAATAGTGTTGGGGGAAATGCATAAAACTTAGTGGCTGAATTGCAGAAAAAAAGAATTTTCAGGGACCAAATTGCAGAAATCAGAAAACTCAGGGTCTAATTTGAAGAATCCAGTAATTTAACTACCAATTTGCAGCAACTAGAAAATCAGAGACAAAAATGCAACAAACAGAATTTAGAAGGGCTGAAATGCAGAATAATGAAAACTATTCACTCAACTGGAAATATTTTCATATTTTGGACGGCAATAAACATATGGACAATCCGGACAAATCCGTTAAAAGTTTGGGCCTCTTACAAATTGGGACGAGGACCGAGTGAAGAAGAAGGGGCTGTTGAGTCATGTAAAGAGCCCAACAATCAAATTTAGTTCACAAATTCGATATGCCTTAAATAACTTGGCTAGAAATGTCATTGTTGGATCGATTAAAAAGTCAAAAGGTCAACAAAAATGATAAAGCAAATGCCATCGTGGTTAACCAAATCAATAGGAATCACAAAAAAATAATGATGTTTCAATTCCAAGTGCACTTAAACGTGGAGGTGACAATATGATGACCTTCGATTAAAAGAGACTGCATAAAAATTCGGTTCAACAATTAATTGAAAATGATTTAAATAATATGGAATTGGATATGGAAGGTGATAACAAACAAATTACTCCATAGTACGTATTGAAGGCGACAAGACCGAGTGAGGCGAGAGGGGAAGGCTCCAACTTTCTATCCAAGTACTGAATATGCCAAGGATACTTTTATATACGCTCATGGAGATTGAGACAAAATAGTGAATTTTCCAATTTCGGAGTACAATAATAAATTAGCAAATTTCCTTCGAATAGCGAATCAAATGTGATTAGGAGCCAAAGAGGTAATATACTACNNNNAGGAGCCAAAGAGGTAATATACTACGTATGATGATGAGGATTATAATTAGAGCACATGAAGTAGTTTTTATTAACTACTACATTGTACTCTCCATCTCTAGAGTACAATGTAGTAGTTAGATTATAATTAAGCATGCCATTTTTTATTTTATTATTAATAAACACATGTCTAATACAGTGGTTTAGAAAAAATAAATATGTTAGGGTTAAATTCACCCATGATTACTGTACTTTATGCTTAATGTCACTCTCACTCTGGCCACCAAATTGATTTTGATTTTCTAAGACCGCAGTACTTTATATTTAATGTCACCATTATCACACAAATTGCATTTGATTCATCATAACCATCAAACTTCATCTATCGTTTCAGTCAAACTACCCAATTATTATCATAACAATAAATACACACAAACACTAAGAGCTTGTTTGCCTCCCATTATTGGGAGAAAATTAGTGTAATGAATAGTATTTTTTGGAGCATGTGTGGTTGAAATTTAA